CTTGTCCTCTGCACGACAGTAACGTGTAAGTCAGTGGATAGTGAGCGGCGCTATATCACCTCTAGTAACTTATTCACGATGGTCGTTGCCGTCCCTCGTAGCTCAGTGGTCTCAACCACGGACTGGCAAGAGTCGAGTTGCGGGTGCCAGCCCTACCAGGGCCCGATGGAATGCGAACTACTGACGATTCCCGAAAGGATGAAACGCGCGTACAGTGCTTTTCCGGACGTGTGACGGCTGTCTGCTTGAGTCAAGATGTGACGAATTGCTACTTATACCGTTCCAATATATCTTTCCAATGGTTGACCAAGAATTCTATCGGACGCTGAAAGTAAACCATATTTTGTGCGTAAAGATGCCTTAACAATAGTGAATGACTGTTTAATGCTGGCACATCCCATCGTGATCCCCAAAATTCTCAGAGTAAAAGTGATTCAAATGCTTCACGCCGGACATCAGGGAATTACACGAATGAAATCACTTGCCAGATGTTATGCTTATTGGCCAAATATTGATAAGGGGATATTGAAGGCGTTGTTCGTAGTTGTTCTAAATGTGCACAGGCTGCGAAAGCCCCCACCAAAGTTGACCTTTATCCTTGGCTGAAATCAACTGCTGCCGGTACGCGAATTCATGTGGGTTATGTAAGCCTACTGAACAATCAATCTTTGCTTATTATTATTGATTCATACTCAAAATGGCCAGAAATAGTTTGTGTCACTCAGCCAACGACAGCTTCAACAATCGCAGTTCTTCGTCGTTATTTCGCACAGTTCGGGTCCCCAGAAGCACTCGTCACTGATAGTGGTCCACTATTCACATCGAACGAGTGCAACCGAGTTTCAGCTAATTCCTCATCGTCACTCCCAATCAGCAGGCTTAGGCTAGTCTGGAAAAGTACCAGACGCCGGCGTTTCGACCTTATTGGTCTCGTCAGTGGTCGATCCATGGGTGTGCAACATATAAGTAGTCCCATTTATCATTCCCAGACCAATGGACAGACTTAGAGATTTGTGGATGCATTCAAACGCGCTGTTTAAACTTAAAATAGAGGGCATAATACTACAAACCGGAATATATTCTTTCGCATGTATCGTTCAAAACCGAATCCTTTTCTCCCAAACCGACGATCAAGTTCGGAACTTTTTATTGGTCGACGTTTATGCATACCGTTAGATACCGTGTTTCCAGCAAAGGAGAATATGAGTGTAACTAGAAAATGACAGATCAGTTCAATCGTAAGCACGGTACTCGCATGAGATATTTTCATTCCAGTGACCCAGGGATACACATCAAAGTTGGATTACAGGAATTATCAAAGCAAGAAATGTCCTGTATGAAGTGGAATATCAAAATCGATTGACTACACCTCACGTGAATCACATCGAACATCGTTATGCACCCGAACAGGGTAAGCAAAATGACACTACAAAGATGCCCTTACACATTCGTTTAGATGCACTCGCTTTGCCTAAGCCAATGGAAGCGCAACCAGAGCAACGTGTTGGTGTGAGCACAGAAGTGGAACTTGAAGGAGGACACTCAACACATAAATGTCCCCAAATTCAGCGACCCAGTATCATTCCGAGCAAACGATCTTATGTGTAACAATTTCTTTGTTTTAACCGAGGAGTGTGTTAGAGAGATCACGTATGTCAGCCGTACAGACTGCACGAGAAAATCGATCGCTTTCCAGCGCGTGTTTGTATTTTAGCTTTGAACTTTCAGCCAACCACATGACACGTGAGCATCGATTGGTTTCGACCAAGTGTGTAGTTAACGGCTTTCCCGGATAGTTGGTTGCAACATCAGTTGTACGATTGAACGTTTTCAAGCAGTGTCAATTCTGTGTTCTTACTACTAAACGGGAGTTGTAACAGACACTTACACAGTTATCAATTCAAAAGGTTATAGGTCACATCCACAAGGTAGTTCGGTCATCGCTTGTTCAGGGCTAGAGTTGTTTCTGCCAACCGTCATTGTATGTTTTCGTCCTGTACTCCAGTGTTCATTGACTGGGCTCTTTGCTGCCACTCTCCAGGCACGTTGTTTCCACCTTATATCACAGTCGCACCTATGTGGCCTCAATGTGGTAGGCATAACCGAAACAGCGGATAATTAAACGCTGCTGACAACCTATGAAATGATTACTGGTGATGAAGCCGTCACTCTCGGTTGGAAACTTGTTTACTGATAGAAGTACGATGAGCAGACAGACTGAAAAGTCCAGTGAAAATGCCTTCCTCCTTAAATTCATGTGAATGGATGAAAGATCGACATATTAAATGCCACTAATCGATTCAAAGTGTAACTAAGATGGTCGCTTCAACGCAACTAGATGAGAATGCCTAGACGATCAAAAATGTTCGGGAGGCTAGGAACGTCCAAATTCAGGCGTTCAAGGTCGGAATTGAGGACCAACGTTTGGATTCAAAAACTGTTCACCCGACTAATCGGAGCAGGTACAGTAGTGAATTGGCCAAATTTTCACAACTGGTGACCACAACGGAATCATAAAATCCGATCGACCTGGTTTGCAGTGATAATACCGCCAATGATGCCAAAAGAGAAATTGCTCGACTAGTTAGAAGTCGGAACAATGGAACAATGGTTTTATACGGGTAGAAATGGTCATGCATAACAGGTCCCGTAGGATAGTTATTGTGAAACAACAAAAACATCAAAAAATGTTAGCAAAATTAGGTTCATACCATGGAACTCACTGAAGTATATATAGTATAAGCTGCAAATCCAAGGTAAATCCATAAGGAACGACGGCAAATGGGATGTTAGTAAAAATCATGTCTGCCCCTGGTATACACATTCAAGTGGTGTAAAAGTGCAACGATCTCTATGACCGCAATGAAATCTCTAACAGACACTTGTTCATTTATGGTGAGTGAGTCATACAAGATGGTGCAGCGAAACAAGTGCACAATCAACTCGGGCTTTGTATTCTGCCAGCGTGGAAGCACATATGACAGATTCCGGTAGGGTATTCCACGTACGGCAAACGCGTACGGAAAAGAAATTCCGATGACATTCCAAACGACTGTGCTGCTCTGTCAGCTTGAGATGGTGGCCTCACAATTTACTGCCGTGCAGCGGCACTTGTGGTTGGAATCTCACAAAATCTGGTCCCCGCGCAATCGCAAATATTGTCCGCTGAAGACCCCGAACACTCGAAGCCTCCACTCAAACAGCAAATTACATGAGCCTTTGACATTCTTGGCTTCCTAGCTCTAGGGTATCTCCAAGGCGGTGAGATCTCAGCCATGGATGCCGGAATTGTATTGCCTATTCCACATGAGGAAGTATGTATGAGCTGAGAATTTGCGGAACAAATCGAAGGGTCGCATCGTCCGAATGCACGCTACAGGAGACCCACGTGTTGGATGCTTCACCTAGACGTCGTTTCGGCCTGTTTCGAACATCCTAAGCCGACTTGGACAAAGACTCCCAAATCCTTCTCGTCAGAAGACCTTTGAAGCTCCCCGTTGCGGGGTTCGTAGAAGCACACCACCTGGTTCCGTAAGTGCAGTACTCTACGTTTGTTAACATTGAATAGAAGTACATTCTCGGTTGACCATGCGTATATCTTGTCCAGCTCGGCTTGTAGTGCTATGACATCATCTGGTATTCTGATCGCCCTCCACCTCTTGATGTCACCGGTATAACGAAGGCAGTCAGAGCATATGATGCATGTGATATCGTTAATATACGTCAAAAATAATCGCGGTCCTAGTATCGATCCCTATGGTACTCCGATATCAACTCGGATAGAATCTGACAGGGACCTACGCACTCGTACTTCTATGCGCCGGTCTAGAAGATGGCTTCTGATTCACCATAGGAAAGGATCAAGAATACCAAATGTCTAGACTTTGTAGAGCGAGGTGTCATGCTCTAACCAGTCGAACGCCTTCGAGAAGTCAAGAACGACGACATCAACTCCTGTGTCAGAGTTTACTTTTCCAGTTCAGCCGGATCGCGCTAGTAGTAGATTTGTGGTGCACGATCGACTTCATCGGAAGTCATGCCGTTTCGGTGCAAAGTAGTTACATTCTTCCAAGTAGGCCGTTAACGCATCAGAAATGATAGCTTCCATGACCTTTGAAAGAACTGGTAGTAATATCATGGGACGGTAGTTGGTTGGATTGAAACGACTACCTCCTTTCTGAATAGGAGTAATCATCCCGTGTTTTCACAGGTCGGGAAAGTACATTTCGTTAAAACAGTGTTGGACAAATCGAACCAAAGTCTTAGCTAATCTCTCTCCTACCACCACTAGCAATTTCGTGTGTAAATTAACAACTCCAGGAGAGCTGTGCTTGCGCGTACTCCACAGCTTTTTAGTACAGCTTCTGACGTGAATGATATCTGAGTGAGTTTTGGTGATGAAACAACCAGCACAATAGGGTTAAGTGGCCAGTGATCGCACTGAAATGTTGTAGCATATTGTAGGCGCAGTATTCGCCGTCTCCTTCGGTGCCCATGTGGATCCGTCCGCTATTCCAAGAGGAGGAATTCCCCGTTTCACCTTAAGTAGACTGTTGACGTGTTGATACAAAGCTTGTGGTTTGCGGCCATACGCACTGCCAACTTCAGCTGGTACGCCATTCTATTCTCGCGAACAACCTGAGTACAGTGGTTACGTTGGGTCGCAAAAGCCATCCAGTTCTCGGTGCTTGGGGAGAGATTGCAATTATACCAGGCTGAGTTTTGCACAGCTATACACACGTGTCCTGTTTCGCAGCAATGGGACCACGTTTCTCGGGCGGAACGTCTTGGTCGCCGATGTTTCAGCAACCAGTGAGTTAAACTGGCTGAGGAAATGTTCCCATGCACTAGCTGGCGCCTCGCCTACCAGAAATCTCCAGTTGGGTGTCTCATCTAATCTAGCTAATATGTCGTAGCGTTCATGCTTTCTCGTTGCGCCGGTAATTTCCACGGGATATTCGGCATAGCGAATGTATTCCAAGGGTAGGACTACATAATCGCTATGGCCAATGTGGACGTCGACGATCAACTTCTCGTTCGTCGTTGGTGAATATCCCATCCAGTATTGACGGTTTATCTTCTCGGAATCGGGTGGGAGTGTTGATGTGGCCATACAGCGGGTAACTGGAGACTAGCTGTTGTATGTCGGCTTTAAACTGTTCTCCGGGAGTGGCTTGGGATTCCAGAGCGTGGATGTTGAAATCGCCAGTAATGGGAATGTAACTGTAAATTGTGTTTATCACCCCCCTTACTGCGGATGCCAGATGGCAGTCCATCTCGGGCGTGGAGGAAGGAGGTCGAGAAATGCCCGCTACTAAGCAAGTGTCGTCGCCTTTTAAATGTAGACAACACCAAAGGGAATCTTGTACTGTGCTGACCGAATCCTCTATAAGCTCCCATTGGAGGTCGTTGCGGAAGTACAGAGCCACCCCTCCACCTTTTCTGGGTAGGTTGTGCCGAACAGTGGACATGTCTGGCAGTGCGATCTCCATGTCACTTATTTCAGGGCGTAACAATGTCTCCGTTATAGCGATGAGATCGCAGGCTTTTGATCCTTGACGCAGCCACATTTAGGAAAGTTTACTCAGTAAGCCTTGAGCCTTGGTGTACGTACAAGAAAGATCCTCGGATGTCACAAGCTGTGGACTAGTGGCATATAAATGATGTGGATTTGTGTCGACCGATGCGAGGTCGGCACTTTATCCTTTTTCGGGTGAATAGCCACATCTCGATCAAAATGCTATATGTTTTTGGTCTCACTTGCACCTGCGGTATGTAGTCTATCGACAACCTCTTCCATAGCTACGGGTATTAACGCTCAGTTTTCTGAATCGCTGTTCTGGTTATATTGGTTCATGGGTGGTGTCGTTTCCGTGAGGACAGCGAGTGGCTGCGGTTCTCTAACCGCTGTCTTCAGTCGTAGTTCCGAAAGAACTGTGTTACGTAGTAACTGCCAGCTACGGATTAAGTTCACGGCCATCTGTTGTGACTGCACCGTTAGTTTCAGTATCCTCGGGCCACTGCCTGTGCAGTTTGGCGACACGGGTAACTGTGTAATCGACTGAAGTTTGACGTAGCCTGCACAGATAGCTTCACAGTGGTAACGCTATTCTTCCATGTCATGAGTGTTAGCTTCTTCGTTGCTAGTTATCGGTAGCTCGGGTACGCTGTGAACGAAAATAATTCTTTTGCTGCTCTCCGTGTGCTGGTCATTTGAATTACTTTTGTCTCGTTGTCATTCGCTTCATGGAACATCCGGAATTTTGCGTATTCCATTTTTTTCAATCCGCAGGCGGTATGCCAACAAAAGCACCGTCTTGACATCATTTGTTTAGCCCAATGTTACTCGCATTAGCTGGGACTACCCCTAATGCATCGAGGTTGGGTGTCTAATGATGTGTATTATAACAATCGGACTGATTTGAACACCGATACGATCATAAACGAAAACTCATTACCTCATCCAGCTGTTTACCTCTTAAGGAGTTTGCATTGGATCCAGGAACGTTGGTGTATGTAAGTGTCAAGGCCTCCTACTTCCGCCTGGTCTTTGATGATGGGGGAAGCACGGTTGTCGAGAGCTTTAGTGAGGTCTCTGCAGGTTGCACCTGGTCCTTGACCCGTTTTGCGGCTGTGCTGGGTGAGGCTATTGAGGTCGCACTTTGCTTACACCGAGCAGCAACGGTTGCAAAGGCGGATCGGCCTTCAGAGCGCTTCGGATTTCTTTGATCAGTTGGACGTGTGGGTGTTACCTATGTTGCATCAGTCGATACATTGAACAAGAGGATGTGGGCGGTGGGACTAGACATGCATTTATGGGTTGCGATGACGACTTGGTTCCCAAGGTTTCCAAACCTGCATGGTCGTGTGAATGCATGGCAATTTGCCTTGGTTGCGTGGCTGCAATTAGGGGAGACGGATTAGGTGCAAGATGTGCTAGTCACCTCGAGCGAAGCAATTTTTGCATTCAAATGATGTTCAGTTTCGGCGACTAGGCTGTTGTACCCTTGTGTTGATGCTGGTACGCATTTTGCTAGGGCATCCGTTGTGCATTTCGGAAAGAACTAAAGTGAACCCGGCGTATTGTATTATCTTAAGTCGGTTCTACATGACGTATTTCGCATAGTGCTGGTCTTGGGAACTTGCACAAGTCAACCCCAACTTTAAAATCTTAGCACACGTTTGATTGGCACAAAATAGTTCATTTCGGGTTATCCATGTGATGGCCATGATGGCCGATTACTGTAAAAAAAAAATGCAAGATGGCGGACAAAGACGTCCATGGGACCAAACAATGAAGTTTCCGAAACTAGCCACGGAATATCCACCAAACTTGCACAAATCGAAGAGGACACCAAAAGAAAAATATTGGTGCACAGTTTACTCCGATAAAACAGGTAAAACACAGTAATCTCGAAACAAAGTAGAAACCAGCAAGGTTGTAGCGCCTATAAATTTACTTACCTTTCATTGTACATTCCTTTCCTATTACAACCAATTGTTGTACATTAACCTTGTATACTTGTTTTGATTGATAAATTAGACACTTTTTGAACCACGCGAGCAACTCGACGTGTTCTCTCTGTGTTCTTGTGTCGCGGATTTTATGGCATTGTCGATCACTACGTTCGAACCCCGAGCAATATTCATCCACAGATCTCGTTCCGTCTCAACTGGTTTCACCATCGTCGTTTGTCATCCATCGGAGTTGCTGACGCAAGAGGACTAGGAAATTTTATGTGGTTGGACTTCTAACCCACGTCGAACCCTTCTGTGAGTCTTGTCATTTCTGATCATCATTTATTCATTGGTAAACACGTGAACTTCCTGTTGACACTTTGTTGACTCTGCTTGTCAGTATCTCTTGATCCGCTGTATCAATACTACCGGTCATTTCCACGATCTAGTATTCTATCCACCTACTAGAACAGTTCGGGTTATATCAACTGGCGACGGAATTGGTAATTAAAATGGCAATTTCAGCAGACGATCTCCGTGCAATTCTTCAACAACAGCAGTCGCAGTTCGAGGCCGCTCAGCTCCGTTTACTCGATACTCTAACGCGTAACCTCTCCCTGGTTTCCAAGGACAAGGCACCGCAGGATGAACATACCAACATTGAATCAATTGTTTCTACAATTCAGATTTTCCAGCATGACGTTGCATCGGGTGTTACTTTTGAGTCCTGGTTCAAGCGCTATGAGGACATTTTTCGTGTTGAGTTCGGTGGGAAGGAGGATTCATGGCGATCACGAACACTGCTTCGTAAGTTGGGGATCACGGAGCATGATCGTTTCGTAAACTATATTTTGCCCAAACACCCACGCGAATTTTCTTTTGATGACACGGTTCAGTGCCTCACACAGATTTTTGGCGAACGTTCCTCGCTCTTCAGCACACGTTATCATTGCTTAAAACTCGTCAAGCACTCCATGGACGACTACATTACCTACGCAGGTATCGTTAACCGCGAGTGTGAGCGTTTTAAACTTGCATCCATGACCGAGACACAGTTCAAGTGTCTCATGTTTATTTGTGGTCTACAATCTCCGTCAGACGCGGACATCCGCACACGTCTTCTCACCAGACTGGAGCAAGACCCAGACATAACGTTGCAGAAAATGGCTGAGGAATGTCAGCGCCTGATCAATTTGAAGCATGATTCCCGTATGGTGGAACAGCAGCAGATCAACATGGCAGATGTCAGACCGGTCAGAGCACACAAACAGGAGTCCAAAAAGCCACCAACAGCATGTTGGAACTGTGGCGCATGGCACTACGCCTCACAGTGCACTTTTCGCCGACATCGGTGCAATCAGTGTCAACGCTTTGGTCACAAAGATGGTTTCTGCAAGCCACGCAACTCAACTAAAGCTGACAATTCCAACAAACGGTTTCCGAAACCACCGCAGAAGGCTAGTCGCAGCATTGTTGCTAGCTATCAAGTCAACGCGACATCGCGAAGACGCTATCTAACAGTGAGTGTAAACGGGTATCCCGCGACTCTCCAGGTAGACACAGGATCGGACATCACGATTATTTCGCAAACGATTTGGGAATCCATCGGACGTCCTCCAGTTATGCCCACTCAACAGACAGCCCTCAGTGCATCCGGAACAACTCTCGGTTTGGTTGGTGAGTTACGTTGCTTGGTATCTTATAATGGTCAAAAATTTGAGTCTATATGCTACCTCACTAACCAACCAGGATTGAATATTCTCGGCATTGACTGGTTAGATAATTTCAATCTTTGGAGTATTCCGTTTGATAAAGTCTGCAAACTGACACTGGGCATCAGCATTCCTCCCGTAATAATCGATGCAGGGCTACAGCAGTCCATTCCACAACGGTTATTTCAGCGATATGCACTAGTTTTCCAGGAAGGACTTGGTCTTTGTAGCAAAATGAAGGCTCAATTGCAGCTGAGAGCAGATGCTAAACCCGTTTTTCGTCCTAAACGTCCGGTACCTTATTCTGCATTAACCAGTGTAGAGCTAGAGCTGGATCGCCTACAGCTAGCAGATGTCATACAACCAGTCGATTACTCGGACTGGGCTGCTCCAATCGTAGTGGTACGAAAGGCCAATGGCTCAATTCGTGTGTGTGCAGATTTTTCAACAGGTCTCAATGACGCCCTTCAGACACACAGTTATCCACTACCAGTCCCAGAAGACATTTTTGCCAAACTTTCAGGCGGTAGACTGTTTGCCAAACTTGACCTAGCTGATGCATATCTACAAATCGCCATTGACGATGAGTCAAAGGAATTGTTGACAATTAACACACACCGTGGATTGTTTCAGTTTAACCGATTGCCATTCGGGGTTAAAACAGCACCAGCTATTTTCCAGCAGCTTATGGATACCATGCTCACGGGCATTGACGGCGTTGCAGCTTACTTAGATGATATCTTAGTGGTCGGAACAAGTCCAGAAGAGCTAGCAGTGAGGCTCGACCAAGTTTTGGATCGTATAAAAGAGTACGGATTGCGCTTGCGACCAGACAAATGCAGCTTACTTTTGCCACAACTTAAATATCTGGGGTTCATTATTGATCAGAATGGACGTCGTCCCGACCCAGCCAATATTTCAGCTATTGTTAACATGCCGGCACCAACAGACGTCAGTACGCTACGCTCTTTTCTTGGCATGGTTAGCCACTATTCTAATTTTCTCCCGGAAATGCATCAACTGCGAGCACCTCTAAACGCATTACTCATGAAAGAGGTCAAGTTTACTTGGTCAGCAGAGTGTCAAGCAGCGGTAGATCGGATTAAGGATATGCTGACTTCCGATCTCCTTCTCACGCATTACGATCCCAAACTTCCAATCGTGGTAGCTGCCGATGCAAGCAACTATGGCATCGGAGCTGTGTTGTCCCACACTTTCCCAGACGGTTCTGAGAAAGCAGTTATCCACGTGGCACGGTCGTTAACATCAGCAGAGAAAAATTATTCCCAGGTTGAAAAGGAAGGCCTGGCTATCATATTTGCTGTCAATAAATTTCACAAAATGCTATATGGTAGACGTTTCAAGTTACTGACGGATCACAAACCGTTGCTGACCATATTTGGTTCACATAAAGGCATCCCGGCAACTACAGCCAGCCGTCTACAGAGATGGGCTCTATCCTTACTGGCCTACGATTTTAGCATCCATTACCAATCGACCACAGATTTTGGGCAAGCCGATGTGTTGTCTCGGTTAATTGCGGATCATCCAGCAGACAACAACGAGACAGTGATTGCTAGTGTTAAAGTGGATCAGGAGATCAATCGGGTAATTCTCGACACCGCGAAATCCCTACCAGTCTCGCTAAAATCCATCCAGCAGCACACATCGCAGGATGCCGTACTACGTAAGGTGATGAAGCACGTGAAAGAAGGTTGGCCATCGAGGGTATCAGATGCAGAACTCATCCCCTATCACCGGTGCCAAAACAGCTTATCAATCGTTGACTCGTGTTTGCTTTTCGCTGAACGTGTGGTTGTTCCCTCAGCTTTACAACGGCCCATTCTCACCCAACTTCACAAAGGCCATCAAGGAATCACCCGCACCAAAGCATTAGCTAGAAGTTACGTGTATTGGCCAGGGATGGATGATGATATCTCACACCTGTGTACGCGGTGTGAAAACTGTGCGATCACGCAAAAATCACCAAACAAATTGGCCCCTGTGCCATGGCCAGCAGCGACCACGCCGTGGTCAAGAGTACATGTAGATTTCGCCGGCCCAGTAGATGGTAAATCTTATCTCATCGTGATTGACGCTCATAGTAAATGGCCAGAAGTTGTAACAATGCCGACGACCACTGCAGTCGCAACAATTAGACAGTTGCATCAAATATTCAGCCGATTCGGAATGCCGGAGACATTAGTCAGCGATAATGGCCCACAATTTACTAGCGAAGAATTCGCAACATTTTGTCGTTCTAATGGGGTGGCACACATACGCACACCACCCTTTCACCCGCAATCGAACGGTCAGGTTGAGCGATTCGTCGACACGTTCAAGCGTGCACTTATCAAAGGGCGAGGCGACGGCCCCAGGGACGATTGCATACACACATTCCTAATGATGTATCGAATCACACCACACCCCTCTTGTAACGGAAGGTCACCGTCGGAAATGTTGTTTAACCGTCAGATCAGGTCAATTTGGGACATAATCGTTCCGGAGGTGAGAGAATTAGCCAAGCCGGAAACAACAGAATCTGCGCAACCCAAACAGCACGTAATAGCGAGAACATTAAAACCAGGTGACTTGGTATGGACAAGAGACTTCCGGCCGTCGCAAAACAGATGGACGCCAGGTGTAATCACCAGACGGATTGGTCGAGTCACGTACCTAGTAGAGGTCAACGGTCAGACATGGCACAGGCATATGAATCAGCTCAGACACCGCTCTGATAACAATCAGTATTTACCTCGTCACAATTCCCAGTTTGATTTTCAGTTATTACTGGAGGAGTTCTCATTGCATAAACCGACAAATGCAAATTCGGATCGAGTGGAAAACGAAAGCCAAACGTTGATGTCAGATTTGGATGCGGTTCACAGACCCCGTACGCAACCGCCGACCACCGGATCGTTTCATCTATACCCAACGGTTGGCAGACGTGTCAAAAGAAGAGGGAGGTGTCGTATTCGGGCCCAACCCAACATGGAGTGCTGTCATCCAATCAGACCATACAACTGTCCAGCCAATCACCACCAAGCTGGAACCAACAAAACCGATATACCCCAGTGAGTCTGGTAAACACGAGAACTTCCTGTTGACACTTTGTTGACTCTGCTTGTCAGTATCACTTGATCCGCTGTATCAATACTACCGGTCATTTCGACGATCTAGTATTCTAGCCACCCACTAGAACAGTTCGGGTTATATCAGCTTCATGTTAATAACGAATCTGTTTTATTTGAATTGGATACTGGTTCCGCGGTGACTGATTAGTAAAAACGCGCTCTCATCGTTACCCGACCTGGAACCGACTGATACCGTTTTTTAGAACCTATACAGGAGAAGTGATTGATTTACTTGGGAAGTGTCAGGTACAAGTGCAGCATCAGGGTAGGTCACACAATCTGGTACTTCATGTTGTGCCTCAGGCTCCAGTCAATTTGCTTGGTCGCGATTGGATGAAAATGTTACCACAAGTATTAAATACTTTCCACTCCGTGGGGGTGGATACCTTTGAATGGGTCCTTAAACGATATTTTACTGCCGTTTCTTCTCCGCATGCACAAAATCCTTTGCTTGCACCTCGGCAACTGCCTTCGTGGTCTGCTCGTGCCATGGTGGCCACAGTCTCAAGAGCACGATGAATACGAAGCAGCGGCTCAAGCCCAGGAGCAGTGGCGCTATATTCGTGAGCCTCTGCATTTACGTGACGATGTAACTGTTTCTGTCTCCAGGCTGCCAATATAAACAAGCTACAAAGGGTGCGGTCTAAGACCAATTAAGGTTGTGCTATCAACGTGACAGACGTCATTTATGCTATTAGAATGATGGTAAGCACTTCGAGATTCGGTTCAAAGCGACGAGCGAAACTATCGTCTGACTTAAAGCGCCACTACAGCAAACAAACCAACTGCGGATCCCATTCGAACTTCACACTTGTAGCAGGTCAGAAAGAAGTGACGATCTCTCTATGCTGTACAGTAACCAGTGTGCATTTATTATACAAAGTAAATTGTCAGAGGAGCTTAGTACGATGCCAACGAACCAAACGTCCAGCGACTCACCGATAACACCACAAAAACTGCTAGCTGCCGACCAAAAAAGGTCGGCACAACCTCTTATCCGAACCACATGCCTTTCACTAGAAAAATGGTGTATTACGGATGAAAAAGCAATGCTTAACAAGTCCCATGGGATGGAAATTGTTACGAAAACTAAATTGCATGATAAAGTGAAAATCATTTTGGTGGACTTCCTATAAATTTATGTGGAATAGCGGGGATGAGCACGTGTTAAAAGGTATAAATCCATAACTACGTGAGATGGGGGTTTGATAAGACACCGTTTGATTACATTTCGCATCACCATGGCTAACAAGTTATAAAATGAAATGCAACTGAGACAACGCGTCGTCAGCTCGGTTTTTAAATATCTCCAGCTTGGGAGCAGGGACGGCATAATTTGGGAGGGCGTTCCAAGGTTGGCACATGCGGAGGGAAAAGACATTTCTAGGGCATTCTAGCCGGCTTTAGTCTATTGTCAGTTTCAGAGGATGACCTCTTAGGTTAGTATTGCGATTCAATTCCTTCAGCGGACAGCAAATGTGGTTTCTCAGCATCTGGTAAACCATTATGAGATTCCCCCGCAAAAGCCGATATCGAATGCTGTACATTCTTCGAGATTTTAGTCGAAGCTGATAGAGCAGATGAAAGAGGCCTCTGAGGTTCTTGGTTGCCCATAGCTGAGGAGTCTCGAGAGCAACGAGATCATGTTTCTTCCACGGATGCCACGTAAGGATAGCATATCCCACGTGCGGTCGCACGTAGGCGTTAAGCATTTGTAGGAAGAGTGGTGGTTCACACCGACCGAACACTCTGTGAAGAAGGCCAAAGTGCTGATTGCCAGTTTTCGACTAGTTCTCGGCTTGTTTTGAACACCCGAGATCTTCCTTTACCAGTACACCCAGGTCACGCTCCTTAGAGACCTTATCCAAGGTGTGACCTCCAAGATTGTAAGGGCTCACCGGCGGGTGAC